AAGGAAGGAAGGGAAGGAAGGAAGGAAAGGAAGGAAGGAAGGAAGGAAGGAAGGAAGGAAGGAAGGAAGGAAGGAAGGAAGGAAGGGAGAAAGAAAGAGAGATAAAAGATTAAAAATGAAATTCTAATTTGTCCCATAGTTTTCAAAATATTTTAAAAGTATAATCAGAAATAATAATCAAGCTTTCAATTAAATATTTTCTTGTTTTTCAAGTGGGTGAAACCTAAGTTAGGGAACATAAAGATGTATGTCCTTTTAACCAGTGATGTCTGTTACCATAGAAACAGTCTAGTTATTGAAAAGCTGCTATAGATATTCCAGCAAATAAACCTGTACAAGTTCCAGACTTAATCAAAACACCTTTCAGGAGTCGAGTCTGATCTTTTATCTATTTATTTTATTCTTTGTGGCACTAGGGATTGAAACCAGGACCTCACACATGCTAGGCAAGCACTCTCCTGCTGAGCTACATTCCCAGCCCTTAATTTGGTCTTAATGATGAGATTGAAGTTCCTAAGTCCTTAGGTGCTGGCCACTTTGGAATACTTAGAATTACTGGCAATGCTGGAAATGGTATAATGTTTAGCTTAATGAAAAAGACAATACTCACTATGTCCTCTGAAGCTCAAAATTAAAATATTTGTATTGGAATACAGACAGGCCTAAAGATTTATGTGTTCTATGAACCAAAGCACACTCACCGTGTTGGCCAGCTCCAGATAGCTTCCTCCTACAGAGTTGCCAAAATGAGGGGACTGTGTCAACGATTTGTGGAGAGCAGTCTGCTGATGCAAAGAGCTTCTGCCGTATTCGAGCAGCTTCTGTAGGGCCGACTGACTCTGCAAGTCTGGGCTCTGGAGGTCCCTGGCACCAGAATCATATTCCCAGCTCTCCCTGGCTGCTGATAAGGCACCTAGGTCCAGGAGAAGCAGGGAAAATAAAAAGACATTTCCTTCATTAGCCTGTGGGTGGCCAGTAGGCAATGATTTGGAACCTTCTAACTTTTCCATGTGCCAGCATCTCAGAACACATGTGGAGCCCAGGCTGCCTGCTAAGCACTTTCCCTTTCAATTTGACACATGGGGAGCCTGGAGATAAAAGCAATTTTAGGCAAAGCATTCAGAAATAACTACTCAATGAATATGTGGCCCCCAAACAGAAATGCTTAGCTAAAAAAAAAAAAAAAAAAAAAAAAAAAAAAAAAAAAAAAAAAAGACTTGGAAAGCCAAGTAAAAGGAATCCAGAACCAAGCCACATCTGTCTGGGATTTACACAGCATTGCTGTGTTAACCTTAGCACCAGCAATTCTTTTTCTTTAGAAGAGGAAGCAAGTGAGAGGACTAAGAAAGCTAAGGCACAGCACTATATCACGAGTTTCTAATGTCAGTGTACTTGTTCCTGGAGGAAGCTCCAGGAAGCTAGACTGTATTTTCCAGTTAATTATAAATTATAAGTATAAACATACAGCTGAATTCTGGGCAAAAGAAAGTGAACAAAAGTGGTAAGGGTCACTTACAGACCTTGCTCATAAAACCATGGGCAGATTCCCCTAGCCCTTTGCCTTCTAGCCTGGATCAGATCAGAAGGGTACCCTTGGAAGCCATGTGGTACAGATGGTGGAGCCACAGGGTGGAAGGTGCCTGGATCCCTGAATCATCTGCTCATCCCAAGCACTCTGTTTTGATTTTGTGTGATTAGGAAAGAAACTTCTATTGTGTTTGAGTCACCATCTATTTTTTGTTTGTTGGTTAGAGCAGCTAGTATTACCTTAACAATTACAGCAGATTAGAACCCGATAAAAGTTAGTAATATTTGTAATACACTGGGATAGTACAATGAAAAAGTAGACCTAGAGGAGGATTGTCTAACCTGGAGAGAGTACGAAATAGTCATGTAAGGCTTCCTGGAGGAGAAAGCCCGATGCTTCAGCTGTCATCCTAGCTAGAAGAATTAGATTTGAAAAAATCCTGCTTTCTTTGCTGTTCACTGCTGAACAGAAGTCTCTTGTGGGTACATCTGGAGTTTTTTGTTGTTATTGCTGTTGTTGTTTTTATTTTGTTTTGTTACTGGGGATTAGACCTTGGGGCACTCTATCACTGGGCCATAATCCCAAACCCTTTTTATTTTTTATTTTGAGGGAGGATCTCACTAAATTGCTTAGGGTCTTGCCAAGTTGCTGAGGGTGGCTTTGAACTGGTGATCCTCCTCAGTCTCCCAAGCTAGAACTTGGGAGGTGCTAGGACTACATGCATGTGCCACTGTGCCCAGCTGCATCTGGAGTTTCTTTGGTGGAGCCTGGGTCACATGCATTTGTCTTAGCTACAAGGAAGGTTAGAAAATTTTGTTTTCTGGTTCCCGCTTTGGGGAGGTAGATTCTGTAAGGTGAGTCATTTCTTAAACAGAGGAAGGATGTTCATAAGATCTGGGCAGCCAAAAACAAAACAAAGGTCTACACAGGCTCAGGACTAGGTACTGGGGACATGGCAGTAACCATGATAAATAAAAATTGGAATTTTCATTCTGGTGGGTCTTTACTATATAACTTTTAATGACAAAAAAAAAGGGCTTCAAAGTGATTCAATTTGTATTATGAAGCGAGAATATACACAGATCACTCTACATGTACTTGGGTGTAATTACAGCAAAACATGAGTTGTGTACAGTGGGTTCTGATATGAACATCCAATCCCCTGTTATTGGGTGCTGATGAATTTAATCAATGTGATTAGGAAAAATATCTTCAGGTGGTTTTCCATATTGTTCATGTTCTACAAATCTTGTCAGTCCAATCCAACACACATTCACAGTGTGATGTGACTGGGATATATCAGCTACTTCCTATCAAAGCAAATGATTCTATCCTTCATATCAAAGCAAATGATTCTATCACTACGTTTGCAGTTGCTTGAAGTTCATTTTAATGCAAAGTCTATCAATGGTATTATAAAGGAGGTTTGATTTTCTTAAGCATAGACTGCAAACTGCCTGACCTCTTTCTCCTGCTTTTCCAAATACTTGTTATTATCTGCCTAATAGACTCATGTTCATTGTCATGGCCCCAGCAACATGTGGCAAGAAGACAGAAGTCAGAGTTGAAAAGTGGGTCTCTTACACTGGATTGAATCTCAGGGCTTTTCATCTCACATGTCCACAAACAGACATAATGCTGGACCTTGCTTCTTACGTTCAACATAGTATCCCCAACACAGTGCATATAGCCTGTGACATATCAAGTTTTTAATAAACATTTATTAGATTACTGAATTATCCACGGCTATAGTGCCCAAGGGTCTCATTTTGTTAACCTAGAAAAGCAACATGAAAATTACTTTTTAAAAAATGAAAATAAATTGTACATTTTTATACAGACAGGAGCCTCATTTTTGAATAATAAAATGCAATGCTTTTGGGATAAAACAGTCAAAGGAAGCTTCATTTGAAATTTATTATGCCATATTAATAGATCCAAACCCAGTTTCTGGCAGAATCATATAATCAGGTTAGCCAAGCTCCATATTAATCAGCAAGATCAAAGGCCTTCCTATTATTACCATAACAATTTTTGCTGAAGTGATGCTGAAGAGCTCAGATCTTTTGCAAAGGAGTGAGTCAAACATAATGCATTCACATAAATGAGACATGAAGAGGGAAATATGTTTTTTAAAAAATATGGTTGATTATTCCCATTTCCTTTCTTCATTTTCCCCTTCACGATACTGGGCATGCAACCCAGAGCTGCATGCATGCTAGGCAAGTGCTCTACCATTGAGCCCCATCCCCAGCCCTTTTTATTTTATTTTGAGAAAGGGTCTCACTAAGTTGCTCAGTCTGACCTCAAATTTGTTATCTTCCTGCCTCAGCACAGACAAAAATCTGTGTGTTAAGGAGTTCCCCACTCAGGTAAAAGGGCAGAATTGGTTCTATAACTTTTCTGAAGTTCAAAGTATTTCCTATTTTTTTCCCTGCAACAGCACTGGGACGGGGGCTGTGGGAGAGAGAGGGCTTATGAACTCATTCTTTTAAAATCTTACTTTAACTAAATCTGTTCCTCGATAAAATTTGTATTTGTGTACTAACATGAATGTTCTGTCATTAATATTCAAGTTACTCTCCATCAGAAGAAACTTTGTAAACACACCTTTAGGTTGCAATTCCCCAATTTCTGCCTGATTTTTTTTTTTTAATGAGAACTATAAGTGAAATAAATATTGGGTGAGATTTAAATATGATTTGGGTTTTGTTTGATATCTGCACATCAGGTCTCATGAAATGTCTTATAACTCATCTCTTCATTTAAAAATTTGTTCATTAGTCTGGTGTGGTGGTACACACCTATAATTCCAGCAACTCAGGAGGCTGGGGTAGGAGGATCACAAGTTCAAAGCCATTCTCAGCAACTTAACCACGTCTTGTCACAAAATAAAATAAAAAGGGCTGGGATGTAGCATAATGGGAGAGCATCCCTGGGCTCAATCCCCAGTATAAAACAAACAATCCCAAACCAAAATAAAAGCCTGTTAGTCCCTAGGAGAAGCCTGTGTTCTAGCTGTTTTGATGTTCTAATTGCTAGTCCCCACCTTCTTTGTCTGGCTCAGTTCTCAGAATTCCTGAATCCACAAACAAATGACAAAATTGTTGCTAGGAGGCTCCCAGCACTCGTTCACTCTCATTCCTGAAGCAGGAGGGCTTGGGGTCATCAGCATTGGTACTGGCTTTAGGCTCTCATAGCATGAGTCCCAGCTGTGGCCTTAGCAACTGTGTGATCTTGGACAAGCCGTGATGAGAAGGATAACAGAGTTTACTACAAAGGATAGTTACGGAAAATGAAAATAAATAAAGATTACAAAGTTTGAAACATCTATCTGTGTAGTCACTCAATACTTCTCTGGGTGAAGATTCTTTCCTTCCTTCCTTCCTTCCTTCCTTCCTTCCTTCCTTCCTTCCTTCCTTCCTTCCTTCCTTCCTTTCTCTTACAAAAATACATTGCCTAATAGAAACCAAACATAAGGGGCCCTACAGTTATTCATAAGCATTTAAACCAGTATAGGATGGATAACTTGTTAAAGGCTCCTTAAATATTCTCTCTGGCCTAGAGAGTCAACCCTTGGTCAGTCTACAAATGGTTAAGGTCATTCTAGCTGTCTATACTGCTCACTTAGCAAAATACATGAGTCACTTTAGCCACGGTCTGTCTTTCACTCTTCCCCTCCCACCCTCCCCCCGCCCCTCTCTCCTTCTTATGAAGATATCACTTGACATAGCCATGTACATAGAACTGTTTTATACAAAAACTAATGAAGACAAGTAGAGAATTCTTTGGTCATTTTTCCCCTTAGGAATGGTATAAAGAAAACTAATAATGGTCACTATTAAGCACACTAATTCCTTTGTAAGCATGCCATTATTCCTTTGTCCACTAGGAGTTACTATCTGAAATTTGAATATAATCATGTTGGTTAGGGCAAGTTAGATTATGCTGCACTAACAAAAAGGCCCTACTTACCACTCCACCCCAAAGTTGAATGATTTTGGGGAAAAAATGTTATTTCCCCTGCATATTACCATCTACCATCTGAAAGTCAGCAGGGGTCTCTGCTCACAGTAGTCCCTCTGAGCCATTTGTTGCTGTCCAGGAGGAAGAGAATGTTCTAGAGGGTTTTTTACTAGCAAATAAAATGTTCTTGCCTAGAAATGGCTCACATGGCTCACATCTACTGGCCAGATACAGTCACATAGACCAAATCAACTCTGAGGGGCTGCAGGTCATGCAATCTTACCACATCTCCAGAATTGGGAGAATGGGAAATATTTGGTGAATGTAAGGATGATGTGTAAAGAGTTTAATATTTGTTAAACTTCCATGATAACATCTGAAGTTTCTGTATTTTTTATTTTTGCAATGCTGGGGATTGA